AAATCAAATGAAAAGCTCAATACTACCACCCCATCCGCCCCCCTTTCTCCCCTCTCCACACCCCCTATTCCAAACCCAAACACCTAATCCCCAAGTCCACATCATCCTCCCTCCTGCATCCCCATAACCACAAATTCCCTCCTAAACAAGAGCATCCCCAGAACGCGAGGAAAATCAATATCGAAATCAAAAAGGTTAGGCCAAATCGAACCAATAAAAATAAAATTTAGACATCTCTTTCTATCTCCCAATCTCTTTCAAAAAAAAACCCTGTCCTATAAAAACCAACCCAAACACCCAACCAAGCTGAAACCCATCACATAATAACTACTCAAAAAAAACCTAGTTAGAGGGTATTAACATGAATAATGTTCTTTTTCTTCTGTTATTTTTTTAAAATGTTAATTTCCATTTACTACCCCCTATCCTATCCCCCCCCTCCTCCTTCCCCCCCAAAACCTACGGCACGTAAATCCGACTAAAGCTGATCACCTCCCTGCGGCAGCAGACGCACTTATCAAAGTTATTCATGGCGAGGGTGACGCGGCACTCATCGCACAAGCTGAGGCAGCGGCAGGGCCAGACGATGATCTTGCGCGGCGCCGAGTGGCACACGACGCACTGCGGCCCGCCCTCCTCGTCCGCGTCGTCGTCCGTGTTCTTCTTCTCCTCCCTCTCCCGCGCCGCCTCGTTCCGTCGCGTCATGATTAGGTGCTCGAGAAGCTCAGCTTGTTCCTCGTCCGACAGCTTGCCGCCGTTGGCCTGCTGCGCGCGCCGCCCGGCCGTCAGAAGGAGCCGGCCCCGCTGGTTGTGCTGCATGCGGGCGTATTGCGAGCGCGTTACGATGCGGTCGCTGGTTAGGTGGGCCGCGAGGGCGTGGGCCTCGCGGCGTTCTTCGGGGCTGGTTGGGTGGAGGAGTCGAGCTAGATCGCCCATGTCGATTGGCTGGTCGAACGGTGTCGTCTCGCGCGAGAAGTAACTTTGGGTAGGTGTCCTCTGCCCGTCAGCTTCTTCGTCTTCGTCTTCCCATGGATCTTGTTCGTTATTATCATCATCTCCAATTACGCTATGAATCATGCTCGTCGTATCCCATTCGTCATCGCTCTCGTTCGGTTCCCAGTCGCCACTTGTGTCGACTCCTCCCCACAGCTGGCCGTTCTTCCAGGTGTCATACAGTCGTGACGATACCTCCTCTTCAGGAAGGTTGGCAGTCTCGGGCGACCTCTTAAGACGCCTTCGCACCTCGGCTTCAACGTCGGCATACTCATCATTAAGGAGCATGGAGGAATACTTCCCATTCCTGCCGCCACGTGATTTCAGACCGTCACTGGCCTGCCTCTCGTCTTTCTTCCCTTGAGGCCATCGAGAGAGCCAAAGCAAGAGTCTGGGCTGTCGTCTGATGCCCATGTGGGCAAGCCCTTTGAGCATAATGACAGCACACCAGCGTAATATTAGCCGGTTGATGTTCATGAGAAATTCTAGAGCTAGCAACCACCGAGAACTGCGTTCGGCGGCCCCGACGCCATCCCTAGCTCGTCGATCGCTTATGCGTGATTTGGGCACCTTCTGAGCAGCTCGCTCCCGCGCATAACCGTTTGATGCCCCAACCTGGCCGTCCTTAATAGGGACTAGACCGATAGTGCCGACAGAGTCATAGCGCGAGGTTTCTAACCCTGAACCAGCCCATTGCATACGCAGGGCCTCAAGCTCCCTATATCTCTCTTCCTCGAGCCATGTGTAGCGCTTCAGGTTGACTCCTTGATCTTCGTTGAGGTATACAGCTTCGCTTGCCATCGTTATAACACCGAATCCTAATCTCAAGAGCGCAGTGTAGAAATCCATCGCCCGTGTTATACGGATGTCGGAGAGGGAGATATTGGCTTGCATATTCTCATGTGCTCGCATGATGCGCTCCCGGAAACTCAGCCGGCGTCCGTCGTTTGATGGCTCCGGTGGCTCTAGGGCCGATAAAAATAGAGCGATGGAGTATATTGAGAAGCAGGTCAGGATGCCCACGAATACCATCGCATGAGGCACGAAGCCTATAATACATACGGTAGGAAACCTGAATAGTCCTAGGCTGGACGGATCGTCGAGTGAGAAATTAAAGACTTCTACCATGAGGCTTCCCATGAAACACATAGCCCAAAAACCTGTGCTGAAGAGGCGGAATTTATTTTGCAGACCAAAGATGCCCAAAATATGGCTCGTGATATGGCTCAGAGCGGATATCAAAGCCACTAAGAGCACCTCTGGCGAGGTATTTACGCGCCTCATAATCATGCCGCGGGATATGGCGATGTTAGCACCGGATGATTGCTGGAATGTGGCATTGGAGGTGCTACTGCTGCCCGAAAAGAGGCCCCAGCCGAGCTGATTGCTGATGGCAGCGTCGGCTTCGGCGAATGCTAATGAATGCTCAAAAATGGTCATACCCGTCTCGACGGCTACGGGACGGCCTTGCACGGCACAAGAAACGGTCTCGACAAAGTGGCTTAGACAGAGGGTTCCGAACAGAGGCCAGAGGCGTGATAAGGAGCCCTGAAGCTCGTTGGAGAAATCGTGGCTGTCCGGGGGAACCATATTCACGGCACGACAGCTATCGTAATCGGAGGCACCGAAAAGTAGAGACGAACTTAAGCTATGTAGATATCCTCCGGGCTCGGCGAACATGAGTTCGGATGTCTTGCTCGCATTGCCCCAGCGCATCTCGGCGAAGTCGGGTGAGGTCTGGCATTGGATCGACTGTAGCAGCTGTCGGGCTTGGTAGATGAATAGGACAAGGGGTAGGAACCGGAGCATAAGCCGGACAGTCCAGGTTAATCGTAGTCGTCGTCTCGATGCGGCGAAGATGTGGGTGCGATTCAGGATGATAGCCTGGTTTGGGGTTTACCGTCAGCAATCCGTTCTTCCCGAGTAGGACGAAAGGGATGAGAAAGGAGAGAGGGGACACACCATAGCAATACAGCATATTGCCCACTTGCTCGTGGCATAGCTAAATACACTTCCTAAACCCTTAGCTCCCCCTTCCATAGAGAATCGTGAGACCAAGGCGGCCGGGTCCTGGTCGTCCTCCAAGACGTTGGCCAGGTTAGCAGCCACGTCCGAGACGGTGACGGGGACGTCAAGGGTCATCTCGGAAGGGGTAGCAGTAGTTATAAAATAATCGGAACCGGTGGGATCGGCAATGACGCGCTGTCCAAAGCCGTCGGGGGGATCGGGAAAGGAGATAATAGAGCCGAGCTTGGTGAGCATCCTCGGCCCGGCAAGAATGAGGTCTTCAAGAGAGGGGGCGTATCGGGTAACGTTAACCGAGGACTTGAGATGTTGAACGGTCCAGGAAGTGAAGTTGTGCCAAACACCGGAATGATCCAAGACAGTAGTAGTTGGTGCTGGTGCAGCAGCAGAAGCAGCAGCAGCAGCAACAGCAGCACCTGGCGATGCCATTGTGCAGAATGTTGGCCGAAGGTCCGACTCTTACATATAAGAGGAGTGGGCTGATAGGCTGTACTAATGTAGGGGAAGGTGGAGGACGAATAGAATCCTGGAAATATCCCTAGGGGGGGGGGGAGTGGTTCGGATTAGTTTGGTCGGCGGCGCATGTTCATCCTCGTCACGTCACTGGCATTACCACTAGCATTACGATGCGAGTGGCGTTTCTGGGTTTCTAGGTTTCTAAGTAAATTGATAGGTCAGGTTCAGGCTCATTTAATCGTTAGTTCGTCAACCGTTAACCAGGAGAGAGAGAGAGGAATAATGAATGGAAGCTCAGGTGTTGTAGTGTGTACTAGTAGGAAGACTGGAGTAGGGAAGAAGTTAAAAAGAAAAAAAGAAAAAGAAAAAAAAACAGAAAATGGTTCAAAGTTACAAGGTTCTAGGTAAAGTAGTAAGAGGTTACGCAGGGTAACTTGGTTATGTAAGTACACTACTGATTGACTTGCAGTTTACAACTTTATACCTACAGGTCTCTCATTCCCGTCAGGATCATCCTTCCAAACCATAACGTAAGACCGGAATGCGGGAATGTCGTAGTATAATGTAGCTTACTACATGCACTAAAGTACCCACTAACCCAGGTTATGGGTTCTCGCACTTAAGAGGACCTCCCCACTAGCAATTAAATGCAGAGTACGGAGTACTTACATATAGGTACGTACCGCACTCAGTTAAACATCGGGCACATCGGGGTATATAACAAGCCGAGAAACTTCTTTAAACCTCATCAAACCAAAGTAATTAAATCTATCTAGATAAGGTATATAAATACCTGGAACAAAAGAGAATTGTCAATTACATCATAGCCATGGTTCCTGATTTGTTTACATAGAAAATAATGAAGTTATTTTAAGAGAGGGAGATAGTCAAACCATCTAACTAGGTTACCCAAGATGAGAGGTATCAACCACAAGTTCGTCTCTTGCTATGAATGACTGGCACCGGCGCAGAGAACATAGTTTTTGTGGCCGGAGATAGTATGTTCCCCGTGAAAGTTCATGGGGGTTTCATGGTGTTTATCCTATTGTATAAGCAGCGTGCTATATATAAGGCATGGGATTCCCAGAGCTTCCTTCATGGAACCATTATCCTTTTAAATAAATAAATATATATATATATATATATTATTTCACATATACAGAAATTGCTGAAACAACACAATAATCACGGCTAACAAGAATGGCTATATATTTACGTGCTATTTACAGTCTCCGATTCCCCGTATGCTCCTGTTGGACTTGCCCATCAAGTTTCATGAACTCTTACTGAAAGAAAACCACCATCTCCCTTAAAACAAAGATTTCTCATGAATGCCCATAAAATGAAAAGATCCCCATGGTTCTTCATAGCATACTACTTACTATGCCATACCAACAAGTTCAAAAAATACCATGTCTCTATACCCCCTAGTTGCAAAAAGCCCCATTCATTGGCCAAAACTCTAGCTTCTGTAGCACGGCACATATATACCGCACTTAACCTTCACCCTACCATCCAATCAACTAGCGGGGATAGCTCAGCTGGGAGAGCGTCAGACTGAAGCCAAACTTCATCTGCAATCTGAAGGCCGTGTGTTCGATCCACACTCACCGCAAAGTTTCAATTTTTGTTCCTTTCTTAACCATAAAAATATCTCGACTTTTTTTGCTACCTAGGAGTATAGTTAGTACCTACCTACAGAAGTAACTACTAGCAAGGCAATCGGAAATATTGGCATTTCCGAGTACGAAAAATTAGTATTCATGTCTTGGCATCATACAATCACAAGAGATTTTGATGTTCTATATCTTGCTTTTTTTTTTCATAGATATACTGTGTGTGGTTGAACTGGGGTATTTATTTTATTTTTCTCTATATGTATATAGTAAGATCCAGTTGCCTAAGGTATAGGCATATACCTAGTTGGGGTAGAATGTAGTATGGGGTCAAGGTCATGCGCATGGTGCATCTTAGACATTGGAAGACCCCTGTGGCAATAGAGTCCCTCAGCTCATGTATCACCCATATGGCACCATATATGTAGGGGACTTGCTTCACCCAAGACCTAAATAGTAGACTACCAGGTTCAAAGATAGGCTCAGCTATAACCCAAATATGACCTGGGACTTGTGATGTGGTTTCTCCTACTAAGCCGTTGGAGGCTTACTTCCTCATCGCAACATCCGAGACCGGAGTGCCTCAGATGAGGTGATACCCTTGGCGACTGAGGAATTGAGGGTTCTTCGTACCTCTTCCTCCCCCCAAGCAATCCTTCGTGAGTTCAGTAGGGCCCCGTAGGATGACAGCTACTTAGATGGGCAAGTACTTCCGGTTTAGTCAGCGAGAGTAATGCGCTGCTGAGCTTTCTACTGAACTACCTAAAGGCTGACATCACCTTTCGCTAGTCATTTCCTGGCTTAGATATGGAGTATCTCTTTGTGTCTTTGCGAGTCTGATCAGCTCAAGACGTGTCCTGTCCCGGGTGAACCGTATCTTCGAGAGCCTTGATGACGACCCGGCTAGCATTGCGGCACGCGATAAGGCTCTGCTCGACAAGCTTAGCGTAGAGCATGCCATCCGCATCTGGTAGCTGTCCCTTAAACCAGATATTCGTCACTTCGTCCCTCACCGGCAAGTAGGCCACGCAGCAAGCCGCAAAGACCTTGTGGTATTCCGCGACGGCCGGATCGAGCACAATGGTAGGCTGGCTCTTCTCGTCCCTGACTACCAGCGCTGCCACACCGCCGGCGACGGTGTCCACGCAATCGATGCCGGCGTCTGCGATGGCGGCCGAGGCCACGGTAATACAGCCTCCCAGGACATTCATCATGTCCCAGCCGTCGTCCGCTTGGTTTTCCGGCGCATTCCGGTCTTGGTCGCCCTCGATAATGGTGACGATGATGTCGACTCCGCTCTTGGGCCATCGATCTGCGATTATGGCGCCCCGCAGCGCTGTCTCTAAGTGAACGCCCAAGTCCCGTTCGCTCGAATCGCGGAGATATCCCCGCCTCTGCCTCGTGGCGAACGGGGCATACTTCACGTGGGTGGTCAGGATGATATGGGGCGAGAAGGGTGCGGATCGTGGTAGAGAGCGGGGGCCATGGACGGTACAGGTAAGTTTTAGGCTTGTACTGCTGCGACCAGTGCTACTGGATGGGTTCTCGAGTTCGAGGTAGGCAGACCCGGAGGCTGAGGGCGTCACTCCTGTTTTTAGGACTAACCGGCAGATGGAAAGAAGATGTATTAGTAACATAAACTAGGGTGATTTAATATATTACTTACAGATCTTCCGAATAGCATCCTGGGACTTTTGGTTGGCAGCAAACTTGGGGGGTGGCGTATCGTAGATGGGAGGTATCGTTTGTCCGACAGGACCATTCACTCGTCTTCGATCAGCCATGATTGATCTCGACTATTAATATTTTTATTAAGTTGTTTGGTTGATTGTCGATTGGAAGCTTCTTAGGTTCATCAATTTGCTTGGATGTAGTGTATTAAGTGTGTATTAATTAATCGGCGAGCTTTATCTATCAAAAGCTATGAAAAATAAAAATAAAAGTTGTATGGATTAAGCTCTCCAAATCTTATCTGCTTATCTCTAAATGCCCCGCCAACCCGCATTGCCAGCCGTCAACACCTTCGACACCTCTAGTTAATGCACGGACCATCTAAGACCCAAATTTCCTACTCAAATAATTTTTTTCTCACATCTTTGTCTCTCGAAAATTTCCTTCCTCATCCAACTCACCAATTCACAACTTGTCGAGAGCTGGTTGCAAGCCAGTTTGCTGCCACCAAGATATGCGCAACGTGAGTCCTATGTGCGATATATAAAGTTCCTGTACTATGGTTGGATTGGATTGGGTTGGAATGGAATATTTTGTTGCAATATCAGCCTGGTTGGGTGGTATATGGGAGATCTGATCTGATCTGATCTGATGGAAATACCCAACTACCAATGCCCATCCTCTTCTCTCTACCTTCTAGGTAAGCCATGATCTCTACCCTCGGAGCACTCACAAGCTGCCTCCCTCCCCTCGACACCACCCCTCCCTTGCTCTTGATGAATTCTCTACCACAGTTCTTGCGATCACCTGAGCATCTGAACAAACATGCACTACCATCTGAAGCATTACGCGACTCCCTCACTTTTTCTCAATGAAATAACGTTTCTCGAGTCGCTTAACTGACAATTTTTTTTAGTGACTGCCCTTAGAATACTTACATAGACAGCATTTTCCTATATCGAGCATTCGTGTTCTTTGGTAAGTGGTATATCCACTTCCACCCTTCTACACTCGCAAACCCTTATTTCTTTTTATGATGAGACTTTTCCAATCAGTTCTGCTTCTGAAGCACTGTGAAGAAACCCATATACCAAAAACTTTACTCTGATCCTACATACAATACATATCCAATGCACTATTACCTACCATTCATCCTGGTATACACGAACTAATAGTTGCCTAGAAATACGACCTTGCTTGGCCCTCGACTTTGTCTACCTGATACTTCAACACGACCCATCCTTATTCCCCGTTTTTACTGTAAGTAGATATAGTCTCTTTCTTTTGACATCACCCCATTATTATGATGAAAATAGTTTATCCATTCAACTATTTCACAATGGGTCGAGCCACCCTCCCGCACCGGAGCCGGCTCTTCGGGGCTGGTGATGATTGGTTGTGGAGTTGTTTTCTAGGCGGCCCTCCGGCCTCTGGCTGGGGGTCACCCGGAGTGTCATGTTGGCTTCCGTGCTTTTGATTTCTGGGTCTCGTCTTGAGATGTGGATTGAGAGGGCCGATCCATGTGAATGAGTAAACTGGTTTTACTGATTTAATATGCCACTCCTACTTAATAATTTCGAGATATTGAGTGGAACCATGCTAACAGGCTTCCCTCATAGGACCCCTTCCGTATAGAGGAGTCTCATGTCCCTGCCCTTATCACATTTTGAAGTTGGTAGGTCTCGTAGGTGTAAAATTCTTCATAGTAGATATTGCTAGCTACTGTCTAGCTTGACATGTACAACCATCTGCGTGCATAATCTGGCCAAATAAATTTCTACAAGAATATATCGTTATTGTCCGCTCTCGATTATGGTGTTTTATGATTTCCTGTGCAAGACTGTAGCGCTAGCCTGGTGGTTAGGGAATACCAGAGTATCAGCAATAACAACATTCTCCCTTCTGCTAGCGGCGAAGACAATAACTTCGGCAATGTCGTCGGGGGTCAAAGGATCAACGCCACTACTCATGATATTAGTGATGTCCATTTTTTAGGTAAGTCGGGAGTTTCTTCTTTTAAGACTTACGCATAGACAGCATCGGCCTTCGCTTTATCGCCGTCGAATCGAACCAGCGAGAATTCCTAAATCACGATGATCAGTAAGAAGTACACGATAGAGAGAAAGTAAGAGAACCTACCGTCTCGACCTGACCGGGATCGACCTCGATGACGCGGACGCGGGTGGAGATGAGCTCCTTGCGCAGGGACTCGGTGAAGCTGCGGACGGCGGCCTTGGTGGCGCAGTAGATGGCGCCGCCGACGTAGGGCTCGCGGCCGGCGATGCTGCCCACGTTGATGACGTCCCCGGACCCGCGCTTCAGGAAGATGGGCAGCACCTCCTGCGTCACCGCGATGAGACCCGTCACGTTGGTGGAGAACATGACGTCGATGTCGGACTGCGCGATGGAGGGGGCTTTGGCTACGCCTTTGACGAGGCCGCTGGAGGAGGGGGTTAGTTGGGTTGTTATTTTATTCTGAGGAAGGTTGGGGAGAGAAATATGGGTGTGTTGTGTGTGAGTGTGTGTAAATAGATGGGTAGATATCCTATGACTACCACTACAATATTCATACGCCCTGATTCCTTTCCCCGTACATTACTCAAATAATAGACTATAAAAAGACCACGAATCAAAACAAAACGTTCATATCTCCATATAAACGTTACTTCGTTCCTTGTGCACATAATCATAGAGGAAAGAATCCAAGAACAAAAAATCAGGGAGAAACTCATACAAGAATAAAAAAGAGAGGAGATAAATAAAAAAACTCACGCATTATTAACCAACACGTCGATATCCCTAAACTCCACCGGCAGCAGCCTCTCCACGAACCCGCGCACCTCACCCTCCACCTTGCTCACGTCGAGCCCCGCGACGTGCACCTGCGCCCCCGTCTCGGCCGCAATGTCGGCCGCGATCTGCTTCAGCGTGTCGACGCGCCGCGCCGTCAGCACCAGCTTGAGCCCTCCGGCCGGCGCCGCCGCCCGCGCGAACTCGAACGCCGTGCTGCGCCCGATGCCGCTGGAGGCCCCCGTGATGAGCACGGTCTTGCCGGCGAGGCGCTTGGATGTTGCGGAGGCGGTGGTGGACATGCTGCGGGTATGGTGGTAGGGAGAGGGAGGGGGGAATGTGAGGTTATTGCGAGGGTGGTGGTGGTGAAGGAGAGGTGTAGTTGGGGTTGAGAGGGCGCGAGAGGAGAAGGTAGAGGTGTGTAAGCGGAAGGAGATTTGGAGGAGGGGGATGGGTTTGCGAATGGAAGAGGAGAGGGGGAGGAGAGGGCGCATATAGCTAGGTGCGAGGTGATGTTATGTGTGTAAGTTGTGAAGAAAAGGAGAATAGAAAGGGATTTTTTATTTTAATTTAATTTGTTTTATTCCTCTGCTTTACTATGACTCTTGATTTGATAAGATATGTATCTGAGTAACTAGAGACGGGTAATCAACAAATAACGGGAAACAATGGAAATGCATAGAAATTCGTCATTCGTGGAGGTTTATGATACCATCGGGCCTAAGCAGGTTACTTACTAAGTAGGAGGTAGTACTAGTAGTTAAGTTGGATTAGATATATAATAACCTAGGTGCGTAGAGCTCATATCAATGTATGTAGAGATACTATGACGGTAGAAAAGAACCCCGCTACCCATGTGGTAACCCCGCCATTGATCAATCCGAGACTTTTCCGATGACCGGTACTTCATGGGTTTTCCGGAGAGAAGACGATACTTACTACTGTACCTGAAAAATGTCACTGGTAAGGTAATTGTGTTAGGTAAGGTACGGGATCATATACTCTAGACAGGTAGACTACACTCTACACTGATTTAAAGTTATCTTCAACGGTTCGAAGGGTATAATCGGGAAAGAATATGGCTTATACCCGAACTCTATCCAGCTCCCCTATTTCGGAGGGGACCCTCGAGTATGTAGAAAATTGGGACTAACACTCGAATCTTCTATTATCCATGTTTTTTTAAACCAAGATATTTACTCATTTACTCTTCTCCTTAGCTATCTTAAGTTATTACCAAGTCTACTGAGTACTTAATCAAAGTCATTACCTAGGTATCAGTTACTCAACCCGGCTAAACTTCGCTTTCGGTAAAATACCTTGATTGATATCCACTTAGGTTATTGGGTTACTATTACGTCAGAGACGGGAGCTATCTCCTCTGAAACACCCCTAAAAGGATTAGGTACATACCTAGGCACTAAGTAAACTTTATAGGACTCAATAAAGGCGCCAGCCCGCAAATAAAGTACTTCGCCTCGTGCGGCGGGCTACGTAGTGTGGACGTTATCGGCTATGTAGTGTAGAGGTTATCACTCCGGATTTTGATCTTGACATTCGCATCGTGAAAATTCCGGCAACCTGAGTTCGAGTCTCAGCATGGCCTTCCAACTCTTTTCTTTTCTTTTTATTGTATTTTTATTTTACATTTACCTGTTCAATACTATTCATTGAAGCGTCTATGCAGTATATATTATTTAGTGTTTGGGGTTCTTAATTTAATTATGCTCGTAAGGGAAAAGGAAAATAGATGCTTGATATTTAACTAAGAAAGTACTTTACAACTAGTGTTTTTGCTGCCGTTATGTGAGATTCCCGAAGTCGCTAATCGACTGTATCACCATTTATAGTAGCTAAGTAAGAATTTAGGTAATCGCGATAGTGTTCCAAGGTTACCTATAAGGGGAATTATAATTACAGTTATTGACCCACTGCAATACTATTAGGTATGTATTCTTTATTCACACCTTGTATCATACGTACTTCTACATACCAGACGTATGCTGTCGTTATTAATAAACTGAAAGACTTAAATACGAATACTTGTCCCCTGATAGAGTTGTATAATAAACAACACGCAGCAACATTAACAATACCAGCTCTGTTAGTCTAAACTTATACGCTACGTGGTGTGTAATAGTCGCATATAATTATTACTTAGATGTTATTCCCTATGCTTAAGTAATTTATCATCATTATAACCTACCTAGTTTCTGCTACGGAGCTTGTTACCGCATGAAATATGTAAAATCTCACGAGGGGCTAAGTAAGTGCTTAGATAATGAATACATTGTTGTTGTGCGAGAAACCTAGACTATAACTACCTACAGATGTCCTAGTTACCTATATACAAGAACCTTCCGTGTTCTTCCTAACCTCTGACATAAAATTTCAAAGACGATAACAAGATAACCGGGCGCAAGGATCCGGAAGTACAACAGTTACCAGTCTCAGTTGCCTTATACGTATACGTCCCATGTAGATATATAGCTATGGCTCTTCATAGGAATTTTCCGCACAACAACAACTGCATTTTCTACTCGAATAGAGTTTGCATTGTGATAAAAAAACTGGGATGAATATCTCAAACATTAAGATGTAAGCACTATAGAGTGTTGCTGGGAGTTGGGGAGAGAGGTGTTCACCAACTACCCTCAGGGCCTCAGTTACATCTGGGAGGGAATAAACACTACCTTCAATCTACGGCCCGATATTGTACTCTGTGCCCGATCTCTACGCCTACAGTTTTACTATGGATATTTCAATTTAGTCAAATATAATGATCAGGGATATGAAACTTCTAACCCTGAAGACTTTGGGGTCCAAAAATGGTGGCCTTCGTATCAGAGCAGCAATCCAAAAATAAGTGCTATCATGTAAACTAATTCCTGCCAATTAAATCCGACTGACCTCAAATCTAACCTATTCTAGAGGCTTATGATAACATAAACTTTTCGGCGGCTTATTGTAGTTGTAAATTTTTTTTGAATATATATAATTCTCCCGTGTAAACGTAGGTATAAACTAAAGTATGTTGTCCTTCCAATTGATAGTGAAACCGGTATAATAAGGTCATAAAGAGAGAAACAAAGGGGTGCTCCCCCACGTGTCGATATACTCAACCGATGTAACCTACTAGTATAGGTTACATAATTGACATAAGATCAGATTTGATGAGTCGACTATATTGAACATCTCCTGGTTCAGAGTTCAACTGCTCGTTTTGAAATTACACATTCAGACAGAGTATCTTGTCTTGGATATTATACCGAGCTGGCCACCCAAGAACGTTACGGGACTAGGACTAAGAGCCTGGGCTGATTGGCTGGCTGAACTTCCAAGGATGCCGAATACAATGTTGTTCAACCAATTGCATATTCATACCTATGTAGATGCAGACAGGCAAGGTAATCGCTCATTTCAGGAACCATCGATGTTACTAAATTTGCCAGAATGCTGCGACGCGCAGCTGCCAGGAGACAGGTTGAAGGTCGTGCCCGGGGCCTGGATAGCAACAGCTGAACAGATCGTTGGGAGCATTTATATATAGTCCACTTCCTAGCTTCGGGAACCCCTTTCGCATTTCAAGCAATCAAAAGCATTTGCTAAAAGCCTTAGAGTACTGCCAGACAGACTGCCAGCCAATCGACTGCCCCGAACAACACCCAAACAGTGAAAGATCTCGTGAAGAGAATCGCTAAGGATCATGGCTACCTTCGCCCAGATATTTTCCAGCAGATGAGTCCGGAAATCCGACGCGAAGTTGAAGAAGCCATTCTTGTAAAAGATCAGCTGATCGGATATTCTGTTCTCACGTATAGTAGCAAAATTTCCCCTACCTAACACTGAATACATCTGACGTCTTATCGAAGTCTGGCAAAGAACCTTTACACAAGCAAGGCACGCTTCGTATTCGAGTTGCTGCGGAATGCCGATGACAACAAATATAATAGGGCTGCAGCAGCAGGCAATGATCCTTATATTTTGTTCTCTGTATATCCCAATCGGATCGTTGTCGAGTGTAACGAGGATGGTTTCACCGACAAGAACCTTGAGGCAATTTGCTCTGTGGGCAAAAGTTCCAAGACTGGAGCCCAAGGTTACATAGGAGAGAAAGGTATAGGCTTCAAGTCTGTTTTCAAGGTCGCTCAGAAGGTTTATATCCAGTCGGGTGCGTTTTCCTTCCCCTTTAAGCACAAGGAAGGCGAATCTGGAATAGGCATGATTTCTCCATTATGGGAGGAGACTGATGAAGAGCTACCACCGGGGCTGACTAGATTCACCACCCTTCACCTATATGAAACCAGAGACGCCGACGAGCTAGGAAACACGCGCGAATCCATACAAAAACAACTTGATGAATTGCAAGAGACATTCCTCTTGTTCATGAAGAATCTGCGAATAGTGCGCGTCGTTTTCTATGATGGGATGCAGAGAGAGACATCGTCTACGAAGTATTCCATCCAACGCCCGCGGGATACCTATGCCATTCTTTCGAGGGCAAACTAGTAAGTGGTTTCGAGGACTGTTTATTCCCCCTAACTGCTCCTCTTCGGAATGAACACTGTCTGTCTTGACTAAGGTCGAGTTTTGATCCATGGGATATGGAATCAAGTGTGATTTCTTCCCTTTTTTCAATATAGTAATTACTAACTCCCTATGTTGCAGTGGTCCTCTTTGGTAGACATGATCAGCGATCAACTTGATCAGACACCTGTGCTATTCTGTCATGAAAGATTTGGGCTTCGTCTAATTCGCGACGTCGTTCGTGTCGGCCCTAACACCCTCGATAAGAACGGAGATACTTTATTCTATGATCCGAATGGGTCTATCGTTTCGCTGTGTTACAAAGCCGACGACCTCGACAAGCTAAGCGGATACGGACTTAAGTGGGCTACAGTTGAAATGATCATCTCTTGGGTAAGGGATGATCTCAAGCAAGGCTCTTTATCGCGAATGAAATCGCCCCAGACGTCGGGGAGCTGGCATACGCGAGCTGCAAACCTTCTCAATTTTATTTTCGACCTACGGAACACCAGCAATGAATGATATAAAAATGAGTTGAAGGGACTCGGGCTTATTCCTCTGGTAAATGGCACATGGGTATCTACAGCTACACATTGGGTCAATTTCCCACAGGTAGATGGGATAGATATTCCTCCAGACCTCGGACTTTTCATTGTACGAAAAGACATAGTTGATCCTGCCGGGATAGCACTTTTCAAGAATTTAGGTGTCTGCACGATCCCAGTAAAACGTGTTCGATCTTATATTCGGAAGGCATATCGTTCAGGAAAAGCCCCAACTTCATTATCATCATCGAAACGCCATCTCGAGTTCCTTTTCCTGACTGACAAAATTGACAGCAAGAGTCCAAGGTGCAATCACATCAAACTTTATAACAGAAACGGGAAACTTTACCGACCTAGTAAGAGATACTCGTATATCGTCAACGATGAGCCATATGGGGCCTGGGAATTGTTGAGAAAGACAGATCCAGGGCTTAAACTGGGAGATAGCGCACCAGGATGCAACTGCCCGTTCGTCAACGAAGGATACTTTATATTCAACACTGCCAACATCCAAAAGGAAAGATGAATTGAGTGGTTTTATGATAGGCTTTAGGTAAACAGGTGTATTCGTCTAGAATATGGGTTCAGTATTGGAGATGAAGATGAAGAAGAAGACAAGGATGATGTGTATGAGGATCGTACAGTTGGGAAATATTTACAGGAATACCGACCAGACAAGTTTCTCGGCGCTCTTTACGCGTGGTACAATCATAGAAAACGATGCGTGCTTCCTGAAGCCATCCCTAAGATCCAGGAAACAATAGACGTGTGCCGAGGAAACCAACAACGCCAACTAAAAGAGGCTTACTTCCCGACAACAGAGTTGGAAAGACGAGTTCGAAAGTTTGTTCAGGACGGAGAATCTCTTCCATGGCTTTGGCTAGATATCGAGTCCACCCCAGACCCTATTCCACCTGAGTGGAAGTCTCTGCTCACAACCCTAAAAGTTGGATATCCTTCTAGCGACCTTGACTTTGCCCTAGATATGCTAAAGTGGTTGTTGCTAAAGTGGACTTTGTATGGGCCTGAGATCACAATCTTTTACTCCACGGTCATTCCTATAGATACGGCAAGACTGTTCGAACTGTACGATCACATCCAGGAAAAATACCGAGAAGCTGAAGACCGGGAAGACGCCAGAAAGAAAGGTTAGGTAGACTCAAACACCATACCCTTTATAGTATATTCTCTCTCTTACATACACACATACACACATAAATAGCTCTATAGCACGGCAATATATCCCGTTGTGCCTAAAGCCTTATGTGTGCCATATAGGTTCATCCCCCACAGAGCTCTTCATGTTGTTGAAAGTAAAAAAATGACATTACATATTGAGGAGGCCGAGTCGGGTCTCAAGATCTATATGCCGCGAAATAAAGACGACCAACAGTATTAGTTTACCAACTTTCTTCCGCGGAAGTTTTCCGAATGGATGGTGAGACGTCCTGTTACTCAGATTTTCGAAGAGATTAACAAAGACGGAGTACATGCAACAAGAGACATCTTGCTTGCGCCGCTTTCACTGATATCT